CCCCCCGCCGCCCGTGCCTGCCATGGCAGCTTGCCAGCAGCCGATTACAGCTAGGGCCAGAGGTGTGGCCTGTGAGAGGGCACAGCTCCCAGCATGCAATGCTCCGTGTTGGGCTCACAGCATGCAGGGAGGCATGGTCTCCCCCGACGCACCCCTGGGGCTGCAGAACAATGACTGGGAGGGGCAGAGAATGGGTGGGGAGGAGGGGCTCAAACACAGTCCTGGTGCCTCATGGGAATTGCGGGGGGGGGGGGGGGGCTCCTAGCTGGACTACATTTCCCATGATGAACCCAGCTCTCCCCTCCTGAGCCACAGTGGTGCATCATGGGCAATGTAGTCCACAGAATGAAAAAGAGGCCCAAAGTAGCTGAAGGAGAGCGCCCACGGTATATCCTGGTGTATCCCGGGAGAAGGAAGAAAGGTCCCAGCTGCAGCTCCCCTGTTTCCAAATAGCAGTGTGCTCCTTTTCTCCTGAGGACATTGGATTTTTCCAGTGGGAAGCAGACACATTTTGTGTGCTCGAAAACCCACATTTTCTGGCAAAAACTAATGAAATGGGAAACTTCCCAGCGGCCCCAGTGCTGACCCCACCCAGATCTCTGGCACCACCACTCGGTGGGTTGACAGGTCTCTTCCCCCTCTTTTCTGACCCCCCAACCTCAAAGTCTCCTATTGCTTTTATACCAACCTCCCCCCCCCCGCAATTGTGGTGGGATCTGAACCCACAAACTCCCATGCCGCCATGCAGGCCTCCATTGCGTGAGCTAAAAGAGCCATTCCATTAACAAGCAGCAGTAATAGGCCATTATCCTCCACAGGGGCTAGCTGCTGTGGGAGGGAGCTACAGCTGACCCTTTAAAGGCAACTTCTGGGACGCGCTGCTACTGACCTCATGGGAGCAGGGTCCGTGAGCCACCCGGGTTTTGCAGACTGAGGGAGGAAGAGGAGGAGACAACTGAGTGTGACATGACATCACCCTGCCCCTCGTTCCAGCCCTCCACGAAAGAGCCAATCGGGGCTTCCTGGACGCGTAACTTTTGACTCAAATCCCTCCCTTCTGAGCTGCTGGGGTGTGACTGAGGCCGGGCCCCCTGTGACCAGTTCTCCCTCAGGGCTGGGCATGGACACGGACTAGCCAGAGCGCAGGTTTGCCCTGCACACTGCCCCTCCAGCCCTGAGGTCCACTGTGACCCGGGACCTGCCCTGTACCCGCCACAGGCAATAAGGCCCTGACTCTGCCGTTTATCTGGCCAGAGTTGCCTTAGGGGGAAATGTAAGAACCAGCCCCGCCTAGGTGACCCCCAAGATTTGAACCCAGATCCCTGTGGCACACAAGCTGCTACTGCCAGGGCCGTCCTTACCCACATGCAGGACATGCAGCACCTGAAAATTTGGGGCACCCCTGGGTCTTAATGTCCACCCACCCACCTTGTCCCCTGCCTGGTCTGCAGCTCTGCCTCCTCTGGAGAGGGTCTAGTGAACTGAAGAGTGAGCAAGCCTGGCAGAGCCGTGAGCAGCACCCTCACCCTGTGGCAGAGCCATTCATGTGGCAATGAAGCCATTTCACAACACTGGCCAAGCCCAGGGACAGATGGGCTCTTTCTGGATTTACTCTGCCAGTCAGCAGGGCCGGAGCTGAACATTTGCTTTAAAACTATTTCATTGGTGCGTGGCTGAAGATGATAAAATCACAGACACCCACAACACACACCCACACCCACAAACACCCCCTCCCCCCGTGTGTCGGGTATCAGGGCACCAGTTTCATAGTACTGCTTAGGGCCCCATACACCCTAAGGCTGCGTCTACACTGCAGGCTTTTTGTGAAAGAACGTCTGTTCTTGTGCAAAAACTTGCAGAGCGTCTCCACTGCACGTGTGTTCTTGCGCAAGTAAATGTACAGGAAAGCGTCAGAACAGAGGGCTTCTTGCGCAAGAGTTATTCTCTCCCCACAAGGAATAAGCCCTCTTGCGCAAGAGGACAGTGTGGACGGGCAATAGTGGCTTCTTGCACAAGAGTTATTCTCTCCCCACAAGGAATAAGCCCTCTTGCGCAAGAGGACAGTGTGGACGGGCAATAGTGGCTTCTTGCACAAGAGTTATTCTCTCCCCACAAGGAATAAGCCCTCTTGCGCAAGAGGACAGTGTGGACGGGCAACAGTGGCTTCTTGCGCAAGAGTTATTCCCTCCCCACAAGGAATAAGCCCTCTTGTGCAAGAGGACAGTGTGGACGGGCAATAGTGGCTTCTTGCACAAGAGTTATTCCCTCCCCACAAGGAATAAGCCCTCTTGTGCAAGAGGACAGTGTGGTCGGGCAACAGGGGCTTCTTGCACAAGAGTTATTCCCTCCCCACAAGGAATAAGCCCTCTTGCGCAAGAGGACAGTGTGGTCGGGCAACAGGGGCTTCTTGCACAAGAGTTATTCCCTCCCCACAAGGAATAAGCCCTCTTGCGCAAGAGGACAGTGTGGTCGGGCAACAGGGGCTTCTTGCACAAGAGTTATTCCCTCCCCACAAGGAATAAGCCCTCTTGTGCAAGAGGACAGTGTGGACGGGCAACAGGGGCTTCTTGCACAAGAGTTATTCCCTCCCCACAAGGAATAAGCCCTCTTGTGCAAGAGGACAGTGTGGACGGGCAACAGGGGCTTCTTGCACAAGAGTTATTCCCTCCCCACAAGGAATAAGCCCTCTTGTGCAAGAGGACAGTGTGGACGGGCAACAGGGGCTTCTTGCACAAGAGTTATTCCCTCCCCACAAGGAATAAGCCCTCTTGTGCAAGAGGACAGTGTGGACGGGCAACAGGGGCTTCTTGCACAAGAGTTATTCCCTCCCCACAAGGAATAAGCCCTCTTGTGCAAGAGGACAGTGTGGACGGGCAACAGGGGCTTCTTGCACAAGAGTTATTCCCTCCCCACAAGGAATAAGCCCTCTTGTGCAAGAGGACAGTGTGGACGGGCAACAGGGGCTTCTTGCACAAGAGTTATTCCCTCCCCACAAGGAATAAGCCCTCTTGTGCAAGAGGACAGTGTGGACGGGCAACAGGGGCTTCTTGCACAAGAGTTATTCCCTCCCCACAAGGAATAAGCCCTCTTGTGCAAGAGGACAGTGTGGACGGGCAACAGGGGCTTCTTGCACAAGAGTTATTCCCTCCCCACAAGGAATAAGCCCTCTTGTGCAAGAGGACAGTGTGGACGGGCAACAGGGGCTTCTTGCACAAGAGTTATTCCCTCCCCACAAGGAATAAGCCCTCTTGTGCAAGAGGACAGTGTGGACGGGCAACAGGGGCTTCTTGCACAAGAGTTATTCCCTCCCCACAAGGAATAAGCCCTCTTGTGCAAGAGGGCAGTGTGGACGGGCAACAGTGGCTTCTTGTGCAAGAATCCTCTGTGGCTAAAATGGCCATCGGAGCTTCCTCGCACAAGAGCGTGTCCACACTGCCATGGGTGCCCTTGCGCAAGAAGCCTGCAGTGTAGACATAGCCTTGGGGCGAGCCTGGCTACTAACTGAGCCAAAGGAACAAGCCAGCAGCAGGCTGTTCTCCCCCTCCAGCCCTGCTTTGCCCTGGCTGAGCACGGCAGGGCAGGCCGGTGCACCAAGGCCTGGAAACTCATTGCAAGCCCAGCACGACGGGTGCACAGCAACTTCCTGGGTGACAGGGCTGGGGGGGAGGCATTTTGCAGCAGCGGCACTGAGCGCCCATGGCCTGCCCCCCCAGGTATTAAGGAGGTGCTGGGTCACTCACTTCAGGGGAAGGGGAGGCCCTGCTCCCGGATCCGTGCCACCGCGTCGTGCCCCGTCCCGCTGGGCAGCTCCACATAGGGTGGGGAGAAGATGCAGTTGTCTGCAGAGCAGGGGGGAGGAAATAAGGGAGAAGACCAAGGAAATTTGCCCCCCTGGGGCTCTTCCCTCCTGCCCATGGGGCTGGAACCCCTGGCTCCCAGTGCACACGTTGCTGCTGCTCCATGGGCCCAGCCCTGCTAGCAGGCCAAGGGTCGATGCTTTCACAGTGGCCACCTCTCCTTAGCCGGGCCCTCAGGCCTCGGGCGCTGGGCGTGCCTCCCTCAGTCCGACAGCGCCCCCTTCTGGACGCAAGGGAGCTGCCGCCGTCAGTGATGGGGACACTTGCAGCTGGAGGTCAGAGAACCAGAGGGACCCAGCGTCGCCTACCTTGATCCTGAATTCCCTGAAGGAGGCGATAGGATTCGAAGCGGTCCAGGAGCGGCCGGACAGCTGGCAATGGGTCGAGGAGGAGGGTGCTGGGGCAGGTTTCCACATAGGTCTGAATGGTGAAAGATAACATGTGACATTAGCATGGGGTGATGGGAGGGGTTAAAGTGATGGAGCCATTGGGGGGTTGTGTTGATCCGCTCCCTGCTCCCCAGCCACTGGAGGCACATCTGAGTGCTTTGTGAAGCAGTCCGGGCGACGGAGCCCAAGAGGCACGTCAAGCAGTCCGGACGATGGAGTCCAAGAGGCACGTCAAGCAGTCCGGACGATGGAGTCCAAGAGGCACGTCAAGCAGTCCGGACGATGGAGTCCAAGAGGCACGTCAAGCAGTCCGGACGATGGAGTCCAAGAGGCACGTCAAGCAGTCCGGACGATGGAGTCCAAGAGGCACGTCAAGCAGTCCGGACGATGGAGTCCAAGAGGCACGTCAAGCAGTCCGGACGATGGAGTCCAAGAGGCACGTCAAGCAGTCCGGACGATGGAGTCCAAGAGGCACGTCAAGCAGTCCGGACGATGGAGTCCAAGAGGCACGTCAAGCAGTCCGGACGATGGAGTCCAAGAGGCACGTCAAGCAGTCCGGACGATGGAGTCCAAGAGGCACGTCAAGCAGTCCGGACGATGGAGTCCAAGAGGCACGTCAAGCAGTCCGGACGATGGAGTCCAAGAGGCACGTCAAGCAGTCCGGACGATGGAGTCCAAGAGGCACGTCAAGCAGTCCGGACGATGGAGTCCAAGAGGCACGTCAAGCAGTCCGGACGATGGAGTCCAAGAGGCACGTCAAGCAGTCCGGACGATGGAGTCCAAGAGGCACGTCAAGCAGTCCGGGCGACGGAGCCCAAGAGGCATGTTAAGCAGTCCGAGCGACGGAGCCTAAGGAGCACTGTATCCTGAGCTACAGTGGGAGACAAAGACACCATGTGCTCCTACACCCCGGACACTCAAGCGTCTCTCAAGAGCTTATTTTCCCCCTGTGTTTGGCCTGGACCTCTGGGATCCTGCGTCTGGGGCTGGTGTCCTGTGATGGGTCGTACAAACCCCACAGTGGCGACATGGGATTATTCGGGGCTCAGCCAGCCCCACCCCACACACTAACTCTAAGCAATGCTCCGTCGGCGGGAATTACAGAGCTGGAGGTGAGCAGCCCCCGGCCGCCCCCACGCCGGCCGCACAGAGCAGCAGGACGCCTCAGGCTGTGGCACAGCTTCCCAAGGGAAGGGGGTCCCAGCCCAGAGACAGCCAGAGAGGGACCTTGGACATTGGTAACCGCCTCTGACCTCTGGGGCTTGGGGAAGGGCCCTAAGGAAAGGCCCCGGGAGGCTGTGCTTGCCAGATTACTGGTCGCCCAAAGGGCCCTGGGTTGGAGCCAGGTGCAGTGGGGCGGCCTGAGTTCCCCTCTCCACAGTCCCCTTGTCAGTCCGGGATTGGGGCTGTGACCACTAGGCCACGCTCCCCAGCTGGACCCTGCGTGAGGCTCCCGACAGACCCACTGGGCGCGGAGGATGCTGGTGAACTGGAGAAGGGCCCAGGAGAGTCACGGGAAGGAGCGAAGGGTGAGAAACCCTGCCTGGTGGAGACACGCCAAGAGCGCCGTCCATTTCGCTCACCAGAGAACCTGGCTTGAGCCGTCTCTTAGGACCTACACGGGGGCAGAGTCCTAGAGTCCTGGGGCTGGCAGGGACCTCGAGAGTCATCGAGTCCGGTCCCCTGTGCCCACGGCAGGACCCAGCACCATCTCGCCCGACCCTGGCAGGCGTGTGTCCAACCTGCTCTGCCATATCGCCAGGGATGGAGATTCCACAACCTCCCCAGGCAACTTATCCCAGTGTTTGACCCTCCCGACAGGCAGGTTTTCCTCATGTCCAACCTCAACCTCCCTTGCTGCAGTTTAAGCCCGTTGCTGCTTGTCCTGTCCTCAGCGGCCAACGGGAACAATTTTTCTCCCTCCTCCTTGTCACACCCTTTTAGACACTTGGAAGCTGCTCTCACGTCCCCTCTCAGTCTTCTCTTTTCCAGACTAAATAAGCCCAATTCAAACCCAAGACATTTGTCCGAGCTCGGCAGCTCTCAGAGGACAGTCTAACAAGACCCCGTAGCTGGAAATTGAAGCTAGAAAAATTCCGACTAGAACTAGGGCGTCTGTTTCTAACAGGGGAATTGCCCTGCTACAGCTTCCAGTGGCTGTGGTGCATTGGCCGTCACGGGCCATTTTAAAAATCAAGACGGGATTTCTTAAAATCTGCTCCCGTAGCAGCAGGAGTTGTGGAGGGGAAGGTCGGGATGGCCTGCGGGGCCAGGAGTCAGATGAGTGATCCCCATGGACCCAGCCGTCCTTACCTGGAAGTCGTGGATGAGCTGGTGGGACTGGCTGTCGTACTCAGCCTCTAGGAGCAGGTCGGAGAGTTTGTGGATGATGACGTCAAAAGGACCCTGTTCGCAGAGGGGCTTGGTCAGGTCAATCTGGAAGGGGAGGAAAAGCAGAAACTAAATCCCTTGTCTGCAGGGGGCTGGCGTGAGGCCGGGGCCCAAGGGGCCCATGAGAACGGTCAGGGTCTCCCGACATCCCCCAGCCTCACCGGGACAAAACGCAGAGAAAGGCGTCCCCTGGCCGGACAGCCCCAGCCCCTGCCCCGGAACAGGGATGTAGGATGAGAAGCGGCGAGATTTGCTCTATTTCCCCCTCTGCTCTGTGCTGCGGCCAGTCCCGTGAGACACCGAGGGCCCTGCTTGTGGGTTCGGACTCCTTTCTAAAAGCCAAGCAAAGCGGCCTGGGAGAGCGGGGAAAGACTCGCCTTCAGCCCTGGCTTTGAATATTCAGACCTTGCCCCGGTGGGCCAGCCCAGCCCCGGGAAGTGTGGCAGACGTGCTAGGCCCATAAATGGCTGGGTGGTTCTGAACAGACACGTGCCCGGGTCCGAGCTGTTCACGCTCAGAGTGGGCCTGAGAAGGAGGCAGCTGCGCAGCTCCCTGCCTCAGTAGCGGCTTTAGCTGTTGGGTCCAGTGACAGCTCGGCAGAGCTCTGCGGGGAGACTTCAGCATCACCCAGCTGGCCTGCTGGCAGACTGACGTGCTGAGCCCTCGGTGGGATTTCTCAGCCAGCTCCGGCCGCGCAGGGACAGGAGCCCCGGTAAGGCTGGCAGGTGAAGGCAGATGCCTGCGGATGGGGCACAGAGGCTGCAGTTTGAACAGGGAGGGGCTCTAGCCTGGCGGATTCTCCGGTGCCCGCAATTTCAAACAGGATCCAGGGAGAGGGGTGCAGGAGGTCACACTGCAGAGCCGTGGCTGCCAGCATCACACCCCCATCTCCCCGGCTGGCTGCTTGCTGCCTCTGGCCTGACCTGAAATGCCTTACTCAGGGTACATCTCCATTTGGACAAATCAGCGTTTTGGGGGGAGAAAACCCCCCCCCCCCCTCCTGAGAGCATCCTTTGACGGACAGCCTTTGGCCCCCGCCACCAGCCTGGGCACTGCCCGGTAGCCAACACAGCTGGCTCCAAGCCACAAAGACATTCTAGCACCCGGTTCACCTCCAGTGCGGAGCACTAGTGCAGCAGAGCAGGCAAAGCGAGCAGTACGTCCCTCCCCAGAAGTGGTTGCATCTCAGGGCGAGGAACTGCCCCTTCTCAGAGGTCAATGCTCCCAAGTGTGGTCAAGTGATCCCTTTATCATCAGCTGCTCTGCCCCACCCCAGAGGTGGATGCCTTTTGGTGGCAAGGAGGAGCCCTTTGTGCTATCTGCAAGCTAGGATGATTCATCACCCCGGGAGGAGGGGGAACGGCCACACACCAGCGAACAAAGCGCCAGGCTCTTTCACGCCCACCCGCCTGGACGCCTTCTTGGATCAGCTCCAGCTAGCTCATCGTTGCCCGGTGCCAGCCGGTAACGACTCTCGCCTTATCTCTGTGGACTTTGCCAGTGCCTGTCAGTTGAAACCAGTTCTTATTGACACACGGGGCCGATCCCGGCTCCAGCAAACAAAGACGGGCACTTAAAGCCTCAGCCCTTCCGCAGAGGGAGGTGACGGGTTCCTGCCTGCTCCGACTCGGGAGCCCATCACCCTGGTGTCCAGGCAGCCTGGTCGTTGACCTGAGTTCCCCCCCAATCGTCTATCAGCGTCCTCCAGCCGGATTTGCGTTGCTCTGAGCACTGCCGCAGCGAGGAGACCGGCACAGTCGAACCGGGGGGCACCTCAGTGCTGATCCCAGTGCAGCACGATGGGGTGCAGTAGGGAGCAGATGCGGGGGCTCTCCTCTCTGGATCCCAACCTAGGTGGAGGCAGCTTCCTCATAAGATCTGCTTCTCCATCATGCTCCTGCTCCCCTCGCCCCACATCCCCCACTCCTCCTGGGCAGCCCGTCCGGCTCAGACTCACCTCGATGACTTCATAGCCTCGCTTCCTGGGCAAACGAAAAGAAAGAAAAACAGAGTCAGGGATTTGAACCCAGGCACCTGGCTGAGAGAGGAAACTTGGTCAGCATTAGTCAGCGTACAGGATGGGGGTGCAGGTGTCACAGGATCAACCTCCTCTGCCTTTGCCACAGCCTTCCCATGCAGACTTGAGCCAGTCACTTCTTAGTCGCTCCCTGCCTCAGTTTCCCCACAGTAATTCTGTCCTTGCCTACTGAAAAAGCTGAAGTACTTTGCGTTCTTTGCCTCTGTCTTCACAGACAAGGTCAGCTCTCAGACTACTGCACTAGGCAACGCAGTATGGGGAAGAGGTGGGCAGCCTTTGGTGGGGGAAGAACAGGTTAAGAACTATTTAGAAAAGCTAGACATACACAAATCCATGGGGCCAGATTTAATGCATCCGAGGGAGTTGGCAAATGTCATTGCAGAGCCTTTGGCCATTATCTTTGAAAACTCGTGGAGCTCGGGAGAGGTCCTGGGTGGCTGGAAAAAGGCAGATGTAGTGCCCATCTTTTAAAAAGGGGAGAAGGACAATCCAGGTATGTCTACACTGCAGAGTTCTTCCGAAAAAAACTTCACTTACATTCACACTGCAATCGCGTTCCTTTGAAAAAAACTCAAAAGAACAGCAGGGTTTTTCCGACATTGGTAACTCTCTTTCTACGAGGAAGAAGCCTTTTTCCGAAAGAGCTCTTTTGCAAAAAGGCGTGTGGACGGGGAAGGAGGAGTTCTTTCGAAAGAAGAGGGAAGAGGAAAAAGCACAGGTGCTCTGGTGGTCACTCCGTTCATAGCAATCACAGATACATGCGAGAGAGTGTCCATTCAATGTGGACGCTAGCTTTCGGAAAAGCAGATCACTTTTTCGATGCACTTTTGCTGTGTAGATGCTCTTTCGGAAGAAGTTTTTTCAGATGATCTCTTCCAGAAAAGCTTCTTCCAAAAGAAGCCTGCAGTCTAGACATAGCCCCAGGGAACTACAGACCAGTCAGCCTTACCTCAGGCCCTGGAAAAATCATGGAGGGGATCTTCAAGAAATCCCTTCTGAAGCACTTGGAAGAGGGGAAAGTGATTGGCAATAGCCAACATGGACTCACCAAGGGCAAGTCCTGCCTGACCAATCTGATTAGCTTCTATGATGAGGTAACTGGCTCTGTGGACACGGGGAAGGCAGTGGATGGGATATACCTAAGCTTTTGATACGGCCTCCCATAATATTCTAGCCAGCAAGTTAAGGGAGTATGGATTGGATACATGGACGGTAAGGTGGGTAGAAAACTGGCTGGAAGGTCGGGCCCAACAGGTCGTGATCACTCCCTTGATGTCAGGATGGGGGTCGGTTTCTAGCAGAGTGCCCCAAGAATCGGTTCTAGGGCCGGTTTTGTTCAACATCTTTATTAATGACCTGGCTGAGGGGATGGATTGCACCCTCAGCAAGTTTGCGGATGACACTAAGCTGAGGGAGAGGTAGATACGCTGGAGGGCAGGGAGAGGGTTCAGAGTGACATAGACAAATTAAAGGATTGATCTAAAAGAAATCTGATGAGGTTCAACAAGGACAAGTGCAGGGTCCTGCCCTTGGGATGGAAGAATCCCAAGCATAGTTACAGGCTGGGGACCGACTGGCTAAGCAGCCATTCTGCAGAAAAGGGCCTGGGGGTTCCAGTGGATGAGAAGCTGGATATGAGTCAGCAGGGGGCTCTTGTAGCCAAGAAGGCTAATGGCATATGAGGGTTGCATTAGGAGGAGCATTGCCAGGAGATCCAGAGAAGTTATTAGGCCCCTTTATTTGGCTCTGGTGAGGCCACATCTGGAGTATTGTGCCCAGTTCTGGGTCCCCCACTACAGACGGGATGTGGACACATTGGCGAGGGTTCAGCGGAGGGCAACCAAAATGATTAAGGGGCTGGAGCACATGACCTCTGAGGAGAGGCTGAGGGATTTGGGTCTGTTTAGTCTGCAGAAGCGAAGAGTGAGGGGGGATTTGAGAGCAGCCTGCAACTCCCTGAAGGGAGGTTCCAGAGAGGATGGAGAGGGGCTGTTCTCAGGGGTGAGGGATAGCAGAATGAGGACTGATAGTCTCAAGTTGCAGTGGGGGAGGTCTAGGTTGGATATTAGGAAAAACGATTTCCCGAGGCGGGTGGGGAGGCACTGGGCTGGGTTCCCTAGGGAGGGGGTGGAATCTCTGTCCCTGGAGGTGTTTAGATCCTGGCTTGACAAATCTGGGACAATTGCGTTGGGGTTGGTCCTGCTTTGGGCAGGGAGCTGGGCTTGACTCCAGATGTCTCTTCCAGCCCTGGGACTCTAGGATTGTGCTCAGATCTGTAGGCTAACCAGGCTCCATTTTCTCCTAAGGAGGGTCATGCTGAAAGGTCCAAGTTCCTTTGTCTGGGGCTGGTCTTGCACTGAGCAGGGGGTTGGACTAGATGATCTCCCGAAGTCTGTCCCAGCCCTAATCATCTCTACTCCAAAGCCAATCACAGGCCTCTCTGGGCTGAGCTCCCTGCTGCAGGCTCAATGGGAGGAGCAATGAAGCCCCTTTTCGGGCTCAAGGAAGCTGCAGACACTGGGGACTTACCGCCCAAAGCACAGCAGGCCAGAGTTAAGCCGAGCCTGGTGTGGTGTTTTCTCTGGGCTGCGGATTGCTGGAAGGACGCAGAGGGATGGTTTCTTGGGCACAGGGCCTACTGGAGGGGCAGGCATGGGAATTTCTGCACAAGGCAGCTGCCTGCTGCTCTTCTGACCAGGATGCGGCTGCATTGTCGCATCCCTTTCTCCTCCCAACAGAAGTGACGTTGCAAAGGCCTGGAGCCCCAGCAAAACTGGGCAGCTTTCAAGGGGTGCAACGGCCCATGTTGAAATGTATTTCTGCCTCACCCAGGCTTCTGTCACCTCAGCTTTCATGGGGCCAGACGGAAGCTAAATCGAACAGCTTCTCCTCTCTTGGAATTCACACCTCCAGACCAGCTGCTAGAAGTGGGCCTCATGCTCCCTGATTGGATCCACCTCGTCATCTCCAGCCTGATCCTGGCCTGCATGTTTCTACCTGCCTCTGGAATTTCCACTGCCTGCATCTGACGAAGGGGGTCTTTGCCCACGAAAGCTTATGCTCCTACACTTCTGTTAGTCTCTAAGGTACCACAGGACTCCTCGCCGCTTTTGCAAATCGAGCCTATGTGGCTCTTGTACAGAAATCGGTGATGTCGCCCTGGGGTTCGCCCTGCTCTCCCTGGGGCTGCTCCTGTGGATAAATCCCTGTAAAATTGTCACTCTCATATAACTTTGTATTAAGAGCTCGTCCTTTTAGATCTGTCTTTGTTCAGTGTCTTAGAGAATCTCTGGAACTTTTCTCCTAGAACTCTGCATTAAGAGAAACTTTCCTTTTTATATAGATAGATCTTGTAAGAAAAAATGTCTTTTGAGCTCTCCCCTTTCCTTGATTGTCCTGTTGAAATGAACGAGGTGTGAATGGGGAATGGAAGGGGAGCCCCTCCAGCAGCAGTTGCCAGGGTGGAGAAGGTCTGGGAGCCAGATCCAAGCCAATACCTGTGCAGTGAGCTCATTAAGAAGACTGGACAGACAGACGCCTTGGGAGTCAAGCAGCAAGTGCTGCCCTTGGAAGAACTCTCTTCGAAGCAGCATTAGGAAAGGCCAGGTGATGACTAATTGGCTGCAGGAGAGGGATAAATAGGAGGCATCTTGCAGAGGGACCCTGGGTTTTCATCTTGTCAACATGGGAGCATCGATCCGGATCCGCAGAAGCCCGGCTCCACCCCTCCCCCATCTACCTCACCTGGCCAGTGCCGTTAGGGGGAGCAACTTTTGGTAACAAGATGGAGTGTGAGAGTGTGTGTGTGTGTGCGTGAGTGTGATGTGTCCTGTGCATATGCTAAGTATTGATTGATCTATGTATGTTCAATAAATGTGGCGTGTTGCCTTAGCCCCCTGAAAAAGCACAACATTCCAACGTGGATTTAAACCTTCCACATGAAGGCAAGAACCACGGCCATTAGCCTGGTGGATCTACCCAAGCTTGGTCCAAAGTATCCGCAGCAGTTTCAATTCACACTGCCTCTTGTTACTTGGGCGGGTGTGTGCGAGGACAGTCATTCTGGAATAAACCTTCCGTGGCCAGCTGGGAGACTTGTATTGGGACATCAGTGGCTATATGGCCTCGCGTGAACCGACACTAGTGTAAGTTACACCTGATTTTGTTATGTCAGTGCCTAGGGTTACCAGATGGTTTAAAAAAAATACCAGATACACTTGATCTCAGATGCGGGGGGGACCGGCCAGGAGGGGAGTGGGGCTGGCTGGAGGAGATTGGAGGGCAGGAGGCAGCTGGCCGGGAGGAAGCAGGCCTGGCTGGGAGGGGGTTGGGGGGAGTGGGGCTGGCCGGG